CTACAACATGATTCAAGTAACTTTTTCTTTAATAACCCTCTAGTTAAAGAAAATTATATTCCAAGTGCAGCACACATGAAGTAAATGTTAAACAAATCACTTGTTAAATATCTTTGCAGAAAAGAGGCATGAACTACAACTACATCCTGTACAAACGTGTCTTACACATATTATGTGTTCAGAAATAATACGAGGAAAATGCTTTAAAAAATCGAAATGACACCAGTAGACTATTATTAACTATAAATGTTCTGTAAAAACAACAGCAGCTTTCTATTTCTGGTCAAAATCGCGATTCCTCGATTTTTAAAAAATAAAATCGTGGCAAAACATTAAATTCGTCTTAAAATGAGTTTTGATTGAGTAACTTATAGATCTGTGCTGCTCGAGTCGCGAACTGTTTCAGATGCTCCCATCTGATTTGATCAACTGGTTTAACTAGTTCAGTAAAAATAACCAGTTCATAAGAATGATTCGTATGTGACTCCAGACTAGGATTCACAATATCATCGGAACGATATCGGAATCGGCTTAAAATGTAAATATCGGCCCGATATGAAAAATGATGCCGATATGCTTTACCGATAAGTTTTCAGGGTTTGCTAGCGATAAGATCACGTCAGCAGTGCTGTTGGCCTACTAGTAATAAAATGAAAGTATAATACACAAACAACATTAAGCTTGTGTTTTTGATTAAATAAAGCAGTAATTGGTGTCATAAAGTGTGTTTTGATTTAAAGGTCAGAAGCTATAGCTTGCATGAATACAAATCACAAACATGACACTTGTAAATTAAATAATTTTAGATTTATTCATTAATGTGTAATGCTTTTTCAAGTGGATTATGAAAACTTCAATACAAGGAGCTCTAAAAGATTTTCAGAATTTTTACAACTATTTTGCTTTAGACCATCCACACATGTTAAATCTTACCACTGCATCTGTCTGAAAACAATTAAATTAAAAAAATGCAGTGATTGATTTATATTTGATTTATAGTTGCTTTCAATGTACTCATTATAAAAGAACTTCATTGTTGTTTATTTAATTCTTTTATTTTGCAAACACTGAAAACTCCGTCATCTTTTACCAGTGTTATTGAAAATATCTTCCACTATACAGGGCCCTAAGAAATCCGTTTAATTTGTTCCCATTTTTTTGTATTTATTTTTTTGTATTTATTTATTTTTCTTAATTCCCGAATTCAAACAACCAAAAAAGCATGTGTTATTACCGTATTGTCCCGAATATAAGACGATATTTTTTTCTTTGAAATACATCTGAAAAAACGTCATGAAACTATATATTTTAACAACAATATATTTCATTTTTAACAAAAATAAATTTTTTAGGGCATTTTTTCACAAATTCTTGAATTTTCCCCAAATTCCATTTTAATGGTTAAAACAATTTTAATAATAAAAAAACATGTCTAATCAATTGAATTCATAAAACTTAATAATTTATTAATTTATACACAAAAAATTTATTTTTTAAAGAAATTCTGTATTGTCAATTTATGATTTAATACAAATTTATTATTAAAACAGTGGCAATCAAACAAAAGCATAACACATTAACAATTTAATTAGATTAATTACATTTAACATTTATTTAATTAAATTAAAATTACAGTTCAATCAAATAAAAAAATGTAATTCCTTTTATTTTTTGGGAAAGTACTGCACAACAGAGCTTTACAATTAAAATATGGAAGAACAATTGTGTGATAGTCCTTAAAGTATGAGTAGTAGTAATAATAATTATTATTATTATTTTGAGAAGTACATTCTGCTGTACAGTAGTAATATGCTTCTGTCACAGTTTCTTCAATTAAACTTTTATTTTGATGCGTTTTAGTGAAGAGTTTTTGACCATAGTTTTTATCAGATGAAATGGTGAGAGTTTGATCTGTAGACTTCTTTGTAATATTATATTGTTCAGTTTTGCATCACATTCATCATGCCATTAATCAAAGCAATAAATGCTAATGTAAAATTTTTGTGCACAACCTAATTAATATTCACAGGGCTTCACGTTTAACACTTTTGATATCAGTGAGGCTTGTTGATGTAATATTTGCACAAACAAGGTTAGATTCATTCACACATTCACACATGTTTTTGTTGTGGTTGTTCATTTGCATCAGTGTTTTTGTATTTTCCATTGTTAATGTGATTTTTATTGTCTAATTATCTACATTATTGGACATATGCCATCAGTGCATCTGGTAAAGCTTTAAGCTCCTCAAGTCTTTTCTCTTTCCAAACATCACAGCCCAAGTTTCCAGCATCAGATCACAGAGAATGATGATAAAAAAGAGAAATCTTCATTCTGATGATGACAAAATTAGCAAATAGAAAGTTTCTTTGTCTGGCCGAATGATTTCAGGATATCAGAAAGTAATTTTTTTCTTGTGTTTTGTAAAAGAGTGTGTGTCAGAAGATTGAGGTGTCAGGAATGGTGCGATTAATGAGCTGTTAAATCTCTCGTAGCGCGGCGAGAGCGCTTTAGCATCAGAAGTGTGTTCTGTTTGGGAAGTGTGATGTTTTAAAAGATTCATCTGCACTTTGACTTAATTGTATGTTATCTTTTGAGCAAATGACACTTGAATATAAAGGAGCGCTTGTGCTGTGTGTCTGTGTGTGTGTCTCTGTGTGTGTGTATGTGTCTGTGTGTGTGTGTCTGTGTGTGTGTCTGTGTGTGTGTGTGTGTGTGTGTGTGTGTGTGTGTGTGTGTATGTGTCTCTGTGTGTGTGTGTGTCTATGTGTGTGTCTCTGTGTGTGTGTGTGTGTGTGTGTGTGTATGTGTCTCTGTGTCTGTGTGTGTGTGTCTCTGTGTGTGTGTGTGTGTGTGTGTCTCTGTGTGTGTGTATGTGTCTGTGTGTGTGTGTGTG